AGGAAAGTGGAGAACTCAGATAAAAACCAAGATGAGCACCTCAGAGACGTATCGAGAAGTTGGGGGGGGGGGGGGGGGGGGGGGGGGGGGGGCATGACCAAAGCCCCCGAAGCACCGAACCAACAAAAATGGCATTACGTTTTACGTTTGAATTTTACAAGAGTTAGAAAAGCAAATTAAGATTACCATATGAATTTTACAAAGCCACCATTTTATTGCCAAGAGGAAGGGACCATGGCACCCTTTGATACTACTTATATAATACATTGGTGCTGGATTGAGCTTTTATATCAGGTATAGTTTTGAAAGAGTAAGACGAGAAAAAATTACCAAACCTAGAAAGAGCAGATTACAATTATTGTCGACAGGGAAGTTTAAAGGAACTGAGTTCAAAACTTGCGAAAATATGATTTTTGAAATGTATGAAATCCAGTCGAAGTTCTTGATCTCTTTTCACAGGATCCTATGGCAACTTCACCTTCTCCATGGATTTCTACCAGACTTCTAGCTATTTAAAACCTTACTCAGTTTTCGCTTACCCAGTGGTTGTCTACCCAAACCAGCCTCTGTGGGTTCAGTATGAAGTCAAGAATACCAACGCTGATCTGGTCGTGTTTGCTGAGAATTGTCGTGCTACGCCTTCTAATGATCCCAATGCGACTCCACAGCATGTGTTTCTACAGAGAGGGTAAGGGACTCACTCACCTCAGCTTAGTGTCAACAAATCTTTGACATCTTTAACTTAAAACTGATATTCAAACACCTGATAAGACATTTTACTCTTTTGACAGATGCGTRCGCGACTCAACCATGAATTATTGGTACAACCCAAACAGTAAAGTCCAGCGGTTCTCCATCAGATCGTTTCGTTTTGTGTATTCCAACACCTTCCTGGTGTATCTACACTGTGAGCTGATTGTCTGTCATCGTAACACAAACAACTCAAGGTGCRCACAAGGTTGTATCAGCAGCTCCAGAGTACGTCGAGAAGCTGCTGAYGGCTCCACAGCATATGACTTGTCTGCTGGACCATTGAAAGGAGGCAAGATCAACGATAAGAGTAACAATCAACAAGGTAAGATCTTAGTAATAGCTCTAGGTCCAGCCCTCTGAGTCTGTTGGTCCAGGTCTATCAAGGTCTGTAGGTCTATTGGACCAGGTCTATCAAGGTCAGTAGGTCTAGCCCTCTAGGTCTGTTGGTCCAGGTCTATCAAGGTCAGTAGGTCTAGGCCTCTAAGTCTGTTGGTCCAGGTCTATTGAGGTTTGTAGATATAGTCCTCTGGGTCTGTTGGTCCAGGTCTATTGAGGTCTGTAGATATAGCCCTCTGGGTCTGTTGGTCCAGGTCTATCAAGGTCAGTAGGTCTATCCCTCTAAGTCTGTTGGTCCAGGTCTATTGAGGTCTGTAGATATAGCCCTCTGGGTCTGTTGGTCTAGGTCTATCAAGGTCAGTAGGTCTATCCCTCTAAGTCTGTTGGTCTAGGTCTATTGAGGTTTGTAGATATAGCCCTCTGGGTCTGTTGGTCCAGGTCTATCAAGGTCAGTAGGTCTATCCCTCTAAGTCTTTTGGTCCAGGTCTATTGAGGTCTGTAAATCAATGTCCATTAAGAGTTCGTGTAAAAAATATAATTTGATTTCCTGTTTTGACAGGATTATTAAAGTCCAAGCAACTCATTGGTGGATTAGGAGGCGTTGGCGGGTTGTTCTTTCTCTTCACAATAGTCCTCTTGGTCATAGTCTATCGTAACCGCAGGCGTGGCCAAGACAACAAACCAACCAGCATCGCTCTGGATGTTACTGTCAACTCGTATGAGCAGTTAAACGTGGACAGCGACGAGAAGAATGAAAGTGAAATTTAGATTGACAGCATGAGAAAGAAGGGGAGAAAACTGTTCCATACCTTAAACACAAAATAGGATGCTCCTGTCCTTGTCTTGTGTTGATTGTCTAGTCTTTTTTCCTTGTGTACCCTTTAGAGGGGATCTCCCCTTCTCCCTCTCCTCTCCTAAGAATCTATAAACACTGATATAACATTAAGCTTTGATTCAGAAATAATAGGAATACTCCATAGCATAATTTTGCAGACAATTTCAGTGTGTTAGGCTTTGTAGAATGTTACCAAAGGTTTTCTATATGAGATAAAACTAATGATAACCTACTAAAAACAGGGTTCCCAGCCATTTTGAAAATGAAAATTCCCTGACTAAATAACAGTTTCCCTGACCTTGTTGGGCCACATGGGCAAGCATGGGCTACATGCCTAACTTTTACCTAGGCCTCGCTCTTATCATATTACACAGGATACCCAACGTAATTAAACTGTCAGGCATAAATGATACTAAATACTTCAATATTTTTTCATTATTTGAAAAGATTTATTAGTCTATACGAAAACTGCAAACAGTATGAGTGTCACACGGATACTCATGGTTAACTTCAAACATATTTCCCTGACTTTTCCCTGACCCCTGAGAACCCTGAAAAATGTATGATGATGATATTTGCACTAGTGTTTTTTCTGCTAGTTTTTGATTTTACATTAAATTTCTTAGATAGTCTTAGGTTGTAGATAAAATATTATTATAATAATATGTTTGTGAAAAGTAGCTTTTTTACCCTTAATATTTTAATTATAA